TCCTATCTTTCTAGGCTATTTGCATGATCGGATATTCTTCGAATGTAAGTCCTAAATTTTAAAATAAATTATAGGATTAAGCATTAAATAACATCATTTCAAAGACATAAAACTAAACAATAGGATAGTTGGGATGTCACCGGGGTTATCCTAGGATTCGTGATATCTCCTACACTTCATTCATTTGAATTCCTTAAAATAAATGTTCCTATTTTAACCACTCCCATTTGACTCTCCCGTGTCTAATCTTGGAAACCTAAACTTTAAAATCTTAAAGGCAGAACCACTAATCTTAATCGAGAGTTTTCTTAAGTGACCCCGATCATTTAAGATGTAATTAATTATAGGAGCTTGTTTCTATAGGGAACTAAAAATCTATATTAGGTAGGGGAACTTGTCGGCCATATATGAAAGATTTCGCAGGCTAAACGGATGTCACAAAATTCTTTAGCTTGGGTGGTTGAGCCTACTACAAATGATATGTTTATCCTTCGGGATAGTGTATGACAAGTGGTTACGCACTCAAGTGGTATCACACTCAATCATACATACTATTAAATATGTGAGACCTATTTGGTCGATTTGGCCTCATTTATTTTAAAATCAAAATACTATTTTTTTTTTTAAATTACATTGATATCTATATATATTTAAATTCAAATTCAAGTCCATTTTTGGAAAATCACGGCCCGCACAGAGAAAACAGATGGCAATGGAGCGATCTGAAAACAGCCACAAAGAACATAAACTCAATTGGAACGATGATCTTCAGGAATTCAGAGAAGAAAATAAGATACAAGGGCTAGGCACCACGTGGGATGCCCAAAACCCAGCATATAGGACTTCTGCCTAAAGACCCGTAAGGGTTTGCAGGGAAGACTGGTCCCAAACCAACAGTTTTCTTAAACAGGCCAGCTATACCTTCCTCACACAATGAAAAATAACTACAATTACAATAGTGCCATCCCTCCAAACATAAAAGACCTAACGACAGGATAACATTAGAAATCAAATAAAGGAACAGCTCCTGCATCAACAGGGGCAGTGGTGGGAGGCTGAGCTTCACGTTTGTGGTGTACTTGGAATGAACTAAATGGAGAATTCTGAGTACTTTGAAAATTTTATATTGCATTCCTTTTTTAAACGCGTTTGCAGTGTATTTGTAATGGCGCTGAATGTTGGCCTTTAAAAAAAAGCATAATACTAAGTTAAGTGTTGCCGAGATGAGAATGATTAGTTAGATGAGTAGCTTTACACTAAGAGATAAAATGTGAAATGATTATATCCGTGATAGGGTTGATGTAGCTCCAGTGAAGGACAAGCTAGAGGGAGTCGTCTTAGGTGGTTTGGTCACATTAAATGTCGATCATTTGATGATCCGATTAGGAGAGTAGATGTTTTATATTCGACCTATGTTAAGAGAGGCAGAGGTAGATCTAGGAAGACTTGGGCTTATTGTGTTAAAAATGATCTTAATTTATTAGAACTAAATGAAAATATGACTCTAAATAGGACACAATGAAGAAAATTGTTTCATGTAGCCAACCCCACGTAGTGGGATTAAGGTGTTTATTCCTTTTTTTAACGAAACCAAACTACTAAATTATAAAGATCTCGTATTCCTCTTTTGTTTCATGTAGCCCAACCCACGTAGCGGGATTAAGGTGTTTATTCCTTTTTTTAACGAAAACAAACTACTAAATTATAAAGATCTCGTATTCCTCTTAGTTACACCCATTTTTATGCAAAACATATAGCCTTTTAGTTTGATTCAAAGCATTCTGTATACACATGGAGCATTTTTTTGTGCAGCGTAAGATTTATTTAGTGCTGATGCAAAGGTATTACCACTCTTTTCTTCTCTGCAGGTTAGGGTCTCGGCCATATTTGTTTTTGTATCATCGATTTTGCTACTAAGTATTGCTGGACTGCCAGCCCATATAAAAGAAATCAAGGTAAATGCTCTTATAGTTCTGCTGCTCGTTAATGGTATTTAATGAAAATATAGTATTTTTGAAGTGCATGTATTAAGCTGAAGTGAGTGCTCTGAGATTTATTTTAATGTAAGTTTTTTCAACATTTTGTTTTACCATTTTCCTTGCTCAATTTCCACCACTTTTAATTTGTCAATAAGTTAACATTGTTTTGCAACGACAGTAACAAACCTATACATAAGCTTATGATCATATTATTTTTCTAGGAAACCTTTGTGCTTATGAACCTTTGCGCCACTTTTTATTGGAAATATATGGGGAGACATATTTCATTATCTTTCGCTATTATCTATAAATGTCTGTAGTATAGAATGAGGCCTGAAATGTAATCATCTAATCTTTTCTAAGTGCAAAAATTAGAAGAATGGTCAAGTTACATTGCACTAGTGTTATTTGCCTAATGCAATGAACATAGCATAAATTGTTTTTTTTTTACGTTAGGTAGTGTAATTCAAGGAAAACAATATATGTTTAAAGATTTCGGTAAAACCATTGGCCATGGATTTCATCCAGAGTATCATTCTTATTTTTTCATAGATTGGAATCTGGTATATCATACACAGCTTCTTTTATTGCAGATATTTATGCACGAGGAGGCAAATCAGCATTCTGGTGCTATGGTTTTCCTGCTTGGACACTTCCTCGCTAGCATTCCTTTCATCTTCCTCATCTCTGTTTCCTCCACTTTAGTTTTCTATTTTATTAGTGGACTCCGAAATGAGTTCAACCTGTTGGTGTACTTTGTCCTTAACATCTTCATGTGCCTTTTGGCAAATGAAGGGTTGGTAATGGTTGGTGCCTACATTTGGTTTGAGGTCTTCTCATGCTTTTTAGCCTTTGTGTTTCTTCATGTAAGTTGTATTCTATGCTTCTTGTCTGGTTCTTTAAGTCGAAGTCATTTTTTTTTTTAATTAGATAATTTTTATATAATTCATATAGCACATTACTTATTATTTTTTTTATTCCTCCTCCACCCCACCCCAGATTTTAATGATGTTAGTAGCTGGCTATTTTAGGATCAGAAATGATCTTCCAGAACCAATTTGGAAGTACCCATTATCTTATGTTGCATTCCTCACTTACTCTGTTCAGGTCAGAATAACATCTCGAATTTAATTTGAGGCTATTACAAAGTTCTTGTGGAATATATTTCAGTTTATGCCACTTTCCTCTATTATATGCGAAAATATGAATATCACATTACTTGGAATTTGGAATGGATGAGCATTATCAATGTCAAGCACAATGACCACTGACAAGGACGAGCATTTTGTTGATGGAAGACGAGAAGTAGTATAAAGAATGAGTAGAATAACCAAATTTTGGTGGAGCATTATAACTTTGGAGAACAACAACAAGCCTTTAAGGGGCCACAAAAAGAAGTGCCTTAGCTGATTTTAATTATGTTCTTGGAAATTCATTTATCATTTTAATTTTATTTTCTTTTTTAATGACAGGTGTAATGCCAGTGTTTTAGAGCTGATGGGTGCAAGTGCTTGCTATCTTCTTATTCTTTATTTGCTTGTGAGGTGAGGAAAGCTTTTAGGGTTTTTGGGAAGCGTGTTTCATGATAATAATAATAATAACAATATAAAATAAATAAGGAAAAGAAAATTTCGAATAAGCCAGAAACGATTAACATTCAGGATGTTTTGCTTAAGAGCAAGTGTCTTTTTTGACCTAAAGGAAATAAACGATTTGAACGAGTGAACGAGAAAGAAGCAAAAGAAGAAAGGAGGTCGTGCTTTAGCCGAGTGAAGGAAGAAGTCAAATGTGAAGAAGCCGAAGGGTGTACTTTTGTATGCAAATTTTTGAGGGTGTCTACGGGTACAATTTTGAGGATACTTTCGGGTATGACGTTAATCCCAATATGACTCATAAAGATGTTAAAAATGGTAAATAGTTAAATTGAAATAGAAAGGGATAAATTTAAAATGAACTTTATAGTTTTATAAAATAATCAACTATATTTTTTTTGGTTATTCATACATAGCATTTGTATATAATTTAGTACATAATAATATTATACTTGCTCACCAAGGCTTGAAAACTTATTATTAAAATTAATATTTTTTTTTTTTCATGGAAAAAATTATAGAATGTTATTTCTGTAAGGAGAGACTTAGCCCTCGTTTGAGGCAGCTTATTTTGCTGTGGACGCCGCCGCAGCGTTTGTTTTGGCGTTATTGGGTGCGTTTTTATATCGGCGTTAATCGCGTATTCGATATTATTCTATCCATAGAACGCGGGGGAGGGGTTCCGTTCGGCGTTGGCTAGGGCTTATTTTCCTCCTGTGCCTGTTGACCTCATTTTTGTGAGGTCTTCTTTTCTCCTCCTTAGAGCCTAGGATCTAGTTCTAGGAGTTCCTATTGACCGTCCTAGAAAACTAGAATTGAGACTCACCCTTTTAGAAAATTCTAGTAAATTCCTATTTTCCTTTGATGTCTTAGCTCCAATTTTTTTTTTTTTTTTTGTGTTCATTTTGGTTTCTTTTTAAAGCCTAGAAGGCAACTACGAAGCTTTTTAGGTTCTTTTATATGCTCTAAAAACTGGTTTTTATGCCCTTACGTTTTATTTTTTTGAGATTTTTAGCTCTTACATTTAGGGATTTTTAGATTTTGCTCTGAAAATGGATCACATATTTACAGTGCATTTAGATGGCGCACTGCTCTGGAAATAGATCTTCTATATGCCGCACTCCTTTTTTAGGATTTATATGACACATCTCTGGTTATGTTTCGGTTCTATATGTCGTTTGGTTCTATATTTACAGTTTATGTGCCTTGCGTACTAGTGGTGGTATTCTCCGAGTTTTTTTTTTCTCTTTCGGGGAGTTTGGGAGATCTCTAAATCTCATTTTGGAAAAACATTTGGTTGACTTGATCAATCCTACGTCTTTGGGGTTTCAAAAAAAAAATCAGCGCGGAGGGATATTTTATGTTTGTTAAGAAAGACCTCGGGCCCTACTTTTCCAGGTCTTTTCGATAGGAGCTATTTTGATGTGGCTAATTTTTTGGAATTCTTGGTTGCTAGTTCCATCAAATCATAAATTTAAGTTTTACAATTGGGGAAATGGGTTTATTCTTTACAGTTGGGGGATTGGGTTCATTGCAATACATTTCAATACATGTCATTGCAATACATTTCGGTTCATTGCATTTCGGCTGTGCGTGTAGGATTATTGATGTTGCACTCCGGGTCATTGCAATACATTCGGTTTAAGCTGTTCTGAAATTTAGAATTAGGAAATTGGGCTTTGGTATTTTCTGGAATTCTTGGTTGAACTGATAAGGGACTGTGGTGGCTGCATCACTTCTGCCTTTTGGAGTTTCTTCATAATTTCTGCGCGCCTTATGGCTTGGTTGAACTTATAAGCTTGGTTGATTTCTTGGTTCATTTGGAGTTTCTTCATAAATTCTTGGTTGAACTTATAAGCCTCTCATTTGTATTACTGATGATATTTATGGCTTGGTTAATATATACTACATGCAATCCATATGGCTTGGTTCATTCATATCAAGCAAGAATCTTCATTCATGTATACAGTTCCAGCTACTTGTATTACTGATGATATTTATGTAATTTGAGAATTGTGTGGAGTTTTGTAGAAATTGCTGCTAGTATCAGTAGCTTTAAGTAACTATTTCCAATGTAAGAAGGCCACAAGTAAGATTCCTCTTGGAGTTTATTTGTTAAATTGTTAGAATCAATACATTTCGGCTGCTAGTTCCATTAATGCAATACATTCCGAATGTCAGCATTTCTACTTTCGGTTATGGTGTATTTAGAGTTGGCTTTTCAGCAGCAGCACTTCTGCTTTCGGTTATGGTGTATTTAGAGTTGGCTTTGGTATTTAGAACCACATTTCAGGAAAATCATTGATCAGTCTCTCTATAATGCACACAAAGATTCAGTAACAGCCATCGCCGAGTACCTGACCATAGAATTCCGACGGCCTCTCCGAGGACGAAGCAGTCGGTGTCGCCTTTTTCTTCCTCCCCTCCTTCACATCTTTTTCCTCCCTTCCCCTCTTCTTGCCCCTCTTCTTCTGCGTCACCTGCTCCACACCTAGCGTTCACTCTTCCTCCGGCGAACCCGCTTCTTGGCTAGAGGCGGAAGACAGATCCTTGCTCGCATCGTAGTCAGGTGATGCCATAGTGTCCCAGAAAAACCCTAGCAAGCTCCGTCTCGACAAGGTGCAGAAAAGAAAACCCTAGAACGGAAACTGGGGGAGATTCCTCCGGCTGAGTGTCACCCGGATCCGAGCATGGAATCGAACGAGGGTGTGAGGAAGAGGAAGCGAGCGCAAGCGCTTTACTTGTCTTTCGACACTGTGATCCATGTCTATTACAAAAGGTGGAACGACGTTTTGAGGGAGGCTTCTAAAACGCTATTTTCAAACACGTCGGTGGTGTTTTTAAAACGCCATCGCTCTAAATAAGCCATCCCAAACGCACCCTAAATCTAAAGAAGCAAAAGGAATCTGGCGCCTAGGCGCCAGTTTACAGAAAGGGTGGCACTTACGCGCCAGAAGCGATTTTCTTCCCAAATTCATTGAATTTGGATGGATTTTAAAAAGGGCATCTAAGGCAACTCTTGGAAATTCAACCAAATACAATATAAGAGAGATTTTATTAAAGAAAAGGAGAAAAAAAAGTAAGAGAGGAGGCGAGTAAGTGAAGAAGAGTGAAAGAGAAAAGTCTCTTAGAATTGTAAGAGAAGAGAAGAAGAGATTTCTTCTTCAATACATTTTTAAGAGATAATTGAGTGATATTGTAAAGAGAGAAAGTGATTCAAAAGAACTTAAAAGATTTGCTTGGGGAGGAGATTGAGATAAGTAGTTTGTTTTTTACTTGTTTTATTTGTTCTTGTTGTGTAAACTTGTTTTTATATATAAATTCATGTTTTGTTGTATCTTCCTCATGAGATCTGAGTAATTTACTTTATTTTTCTCCCTGCAATGAGAAATAATCATGTGAAGAATTGAAATTGTTTAGAAGTATTCTAATTTTATAATTATTTTGATTCAACTTTAGAACTTCATTTACTTAATCAATTTGACCAATTGTTAAGTTAAAATATGTTGTGAAACATAATGATTCGAAAAAATTATGCTTTCCTCAACTGAGTAATAATCACATTTGATTTCATAGATGAGAATGAGTTCATGTAGTTAATTGTAAATAAATAGAAAAATAAGTTTTGATGGATGCAAATTTGTGATTCTAAAGTGACAGACTAGAACCTCCAATTTGATCCAGAAGTTGGGAACCTAAGACTAGATGTTAGCCTCCAGGCGGAGTGATAGTGAGAACTTTAGAGTTGGAGCTAGTTTCTTCCAAGCCTAACAAGGATTTAAGAACTTGACTATGGATTAATCAATGTTCTTTATGCACTTGTAAGAGGGTAAATAATAAGTATGCTCCTATTTGACACAATATAATATTTAAATTTATAACAATTTGAATTATTCACTGATTATAATCTCAATGCAAGGGGAAATGTACTTTCTAAAATTTGAACTTTTCTTCATGAAACTTAGTTTAGCTATATTAGAATTTACTTTAAGTTTATAGATAAGAGTAATAAATATAATTTACATAGTTTAAAAACAAAAATTTCAACCTTCATTCCTAGTTAAGTTTTCTGCAGTTTATATTTATTTGAGTTAAGATTACAAGATTTCCAAACTTCCCTATGTGATCGATACTTAGGACTCCATTAGAGCCTTATATTACTTAAGCAATACATATACTTGCATTATCATACTAGCAAATATTTGAAATCGATAAATAATATTTTAAATCGCTAATAGTGGCAGCTATATATCTAAAGAAAAAATTAACTAATATGAAGTATATCATTCAAGTGGCTGCATACACGCGCACCAAGTTTTGGCGCCGTTACCGGGAGAGTACCAAAAATTTTTTTTAGTTTTTATTTGAACTGTAAAACTTATTTTATGAAAATCGTAGTGTAGTTTATGTATATAAGTTTCTGTTTGTGTGCTTATTTTAAAGAAAATTTAATATACAAAAATGAAAAAAAATTATTTTTGAGTGTTTTAGTTTAATTGAATTTTATTTT